TCTTTTATCAATTCATATACCCCAAATTTTGCATAGTATTGAACTGTTTGTTTTTTTGTTGATCTGAAGTAAAACTCTTGAATATACATATTCGTATTTTCAAATAATTTTCTTTCATCAAATGAACTCATGATTCATTCGAATTTTTTTCCAACACATAATGACATATTCGAATTATGCATGAATTATATCAAATCACTTTTCTTCTGTAAACTGATCACATACTAACATGCACAATAGAAATCGTAACGTTGTCTATATCTATTTTGCTCGTAATTCCTTTTGGAGAAATTTAATTTTTATGCAAGACGTGGTTCGAATGTTCTTAGCTAAAGTTTCATGTTGGTGTCGTATTCAGGATGCTTTCAACTAGGCATGCACCGAACCCGAACGTTCGGATTCGGGTTCGGTCTGAGAGTTCGAGTTCGGGTTCGGGTTCGGGTTCGGGTTCGGTCGGGTTCGGTTCGGGTTCGGTGTCAGGGTTCGGGTTCGGGTTCGGGTTCGGTTTCAGGGTTCGGGTTCGGGTTCGGGTTCGGTTTTAGGATTCGGGTTCGGGTTCGGTCTCGAAGGTCGAGTTCGGGTTTAGTTTTCCTTGCAGTCATTTTTAGGCAGCTTGTAAAAAGAATCGGATGTCATGTATAAGCAAAAGAGTTGCCGGCTTCATACCAACCAATCTCAAATAGTAGAGTAATTGATCCGAAGTTTGAGGATCTGCAAAAATCCTACAAGTGAACTTTTTTTTTAAATCTATTTATTTTACTGTGCCATGTTGTATCTGGTTCACAGTTAGAGTTGTATAACTAGAAAAAAGAAATACATGTAATACCGATATTCTACATCAAAAAATCTAAAAGTGAACTATCTCCAGAAATACTGTATTCTGAGCCGAAACTTAGGTAAAATTAAGAATGATTTCATGATCCCTCATGCATCCAAAGAACTGCTTCAGCAATTAGCCACATAATAGAGAAGAAAGGAAATTGAACTTTCAAAATCGATGATTTGGCTCATGTTTTTACGGTAGTTTGTCATAGACTTAGAGCTAGGGGTGGGAGGTTATTGTTCCCGGGTGACAATCTAGGAACAGTAAAGTGAGTGTCTACCATCATCAAGCCAGTAGCTTAGGGTCCTCAAGTCCTACTATTGGGGGTACCCTTGGGTCCCCAAGCTCTACCATTTGGGAGTACCCTTGGGTCCTCAAATCCTACTATTAGGGGGTACTCTTGGGTCATTAAGTCCTACTATTCGGGGTTTCCTTGGGTCCTCAAGTCCTACTCTTGGGTTCCCAAGTCGCACGAGATGGGGATGCCCTCTGGTCCTCAAGTGCTGCTATAGCGGCGTACTCTTGGGTACTGATGTAACACTCTACGATGTATCCTTGGATTCTGAAAGACCACTATGCAGAAGTATGCTTGGGTAGCGAAGTGCTTCGGCAAGAGTCGTCTTTTAGGTGCGTGGTACTGTAGTTATCGGCGCATTGTGTACGATATTATTGGAAGTGTTGGTACGTTATTGATGACGGGATATTTGTTCGTAGGGGACCATCGGTGTCAGCGGTCTTCTGGTTGTTACGCGATTACTGAGCGGAATGTGTTAGTGCGATCTCTAAAAGTGATGGGACATGTGGAAACGCGAAGGATGATAGTAAGGAAAGATGCGGTAGATGTTGATGGTTATTAAGAGTAGTGGGTCGGATTACAGGAACGCCCTAAAGGGCTGTCATTTTAAAATCCGGAAGTGCTTATGAGTCATCGATACTTCGTTCACAGTTTGGGTGAAGTTTTATGGTATAAAGGAGCTGGGATTCGATAATGTGCTGCCAGATGAAATACCGGTTCTATTTCGAAGGGTATCGGAGTAGCGTTGCTCATGTCCCAAATGGTAATTATACTGTCAAAATAGTTTTTGGTTGGAATTCAGTTTTGCAGAAATCTCTGAGGGCCAATCCTGGACATGTAACTGAAGCCAAAACTCGAGGAAATAATTTACAAGCCATCAATAGTCCTAGTTTCGCACTGATTTACGAATATTACTTTCTTTTGAACTCAAACAATGTTTTTTCTACTAAAACTGGTCTTTATAATTCAAAAGCAAAGTAAAATTGTCTGAAAAGTATGGCAGTTGAGATAAAAGCGATTCATCGGGCATCAAGTTTTAAGTTACAAATGGTATGATATGATCAGAAAAATAATATAGAACCAGGTGTTTGAATAAACAATCTCGCTGGAACACGCGTACAAACTGTAACTATTGTCCACTGTAAAAATCATGCGTAAAAGTTTCACCCAAGTAGAACACTTTTCGAATACATCTACAGAGAAGGCTTTGAATGTCCAGGACTTTCCTACAGGTCTCTACAAAAAAAACACTCTGTATGAAATAAAACGTTTTTAAACGAATCCAAATCGGATTTTAGAGAGTGTTCAGCTCAAAATCTGTTTTTTGAGGCCTTCGAAGACTGCTTCGCGTCTTTCTTACGGTCTTACCCACTACAAATAAAAACATTATCTTTGAAAACAGCACCTTCAGCTCTATTGAACTCTGAAGTTCTCCAACAAAAAAGTGATGGAAATTCTTCATCCACTCTGGAAGGTGACATGGAGTATGAAAGGTCCAGTTGAGCTATTATACAAAATAAACTAATGAAGAATAATCAAATGGATCATTCGTGATCCTGAGACACAAAGTGAAGATTCGCTATCATGAAACATTTGGTCCACAATATAACACATCTTCTACACAGCACATTCCGAATGTTACATGTTGTTTTCTCTTTTTTTTGTGGAACTCACGTATGTTTTCGAAGAAAATAGTGAGTGTAAGTTTTCAGTTCGAGGTTGGCGGCTCCCTCCTCCCTCCCCCTCCCCCCCCCCCCACCCTTACACGGGCAACGGGAAGAGAAAATTACACCAACATAACCGAACACCCCCCCCCCCCCCCCCCATTACAGACCTCAACAACCGGGCATAAAAAACTTCAACTTTATTTAACAATAAAAACAGAGTTGAACAGTATGAAGAATATCAGTTTGTCTGTCATACAATATTTCAATGTTTTCATAAATATTGGAAAAAACTAATATAAATTTGTTAAAGTTCCTAATAATGTAATCACTGATTATTTTTTAAAATTAAAATGTGCACGTAAAAAATCAACAATGAAGAGTAGTAATAGGTATTGATCTGTCATACCGATGGTATAATCGATGTGACAAACATGATTCGACCTTTGTATCAGTGTCAGACGTATACAATATGACCATTTATGAATTAATTGAGATATCTTATAGTGTGATGAGAGTGGCTTACAGATATAAACTGCATTATTCTAATAGTTGTATTGATAAAATAATCGATGATGAAAAAAAAAAGTAATTTCAAATAAAAAAAATAAAAAAAATGATTATTATTGAGTGTTAGCAACAATAATAAAAAAAAGATCGGGCGCGCTTAAACGAAAAAGAGAGTTTCAATTTTAAATGTAGAAATTAAATGATCAATTATTTTTCTTGTCAGCAATTATTTACAAAAAAACCTGTAGTCGACAAGAAAGTTTTCAGTTATAGGTGACGTATTAAGATAACAAGACTGAAGGATATACGTGAGTTCCACATTTTAGCTCCAAAGGAGCTGTGATAACAAGCTTTTTCTTTATAATTCTTCATCACGAATATGCTTAAAGCGTTCTGAAACTATATCCATCAAAAACTGATGGTATAATACTAGTATCCACATGCAGTAAAAACCGTTAAAAAACTTTGAATGCGTTTAGAAGTAAAGAAAAATATGAAGAAGTACCAAGAAGAATCAAGAACTATGAGTATAAACCAAAGCGAACGAGAACGAGAAAGTACCATCAAGTACAAAAGCACGTTTAATCCTTCTTGCTCTCCATAATAGGAAATCGTTTTCGTCAACCGAAGAAACGCGGACTCTGAGAAACTACACTACTTATTGATAGCTTGTACGGTTCATTTCCAAGCACCATTACCATGCGAAACACGATTCCCTTCCTCACGCAAAATCGAAGCGACTCTCTGTTTCGTCTTTTTCATTCCTGCTTATCAGTCAGCTGAAAGTGTTGAGCCAGAAAATCACATTCACACAGTCTAAAGTTGTCAGAAGACATCACTCTCATTACTGCGATCACCATCAATAACCTCCTCTGTTTTGCTCTGGAAACCAACCGTCTAACCTGAGCCGCGCTGTCAAAGCAACTGTCCTCTGGTGCTATCGGTGATGCCGCAAAGTCACCACGAGCTAGACACAATTACTCAGTACAGGCTCACGACACATACCCAGTGAAAAAGTCTCGAAGAGTACCAATTGCTGGGTCACTTCCACTATCCTGTCAACATACGCCCAATGTGGTGCTCTCAGATTTCCCCAGCAGTTCTTTGCAGTAGTAATTGAGCAGCTAGCAGTTCTCCTTCGCATTTAGTAGAAATTGATCATCTTAGAGAATCGAATGGTACCGATTGAGGGCCCCAGGCTGATGCGCAATAGTATTTCAGGACTCAAGGTACTCCACTATGGTAGAACTTCAAGAGTCACGAGTACCCTAATAGTAGGACTTGTGGACCAAGGGTACCCCTAATAGTAGGAATTGAGAACCCAAGGGAACCCCTCCCCCAAATACTACGACTTGAGAAGCTGAGGTTACCCCCAACAGTAGGACTTGAGCGCCCAACGGTACCCCCGAATAATGGGACTTGAGGGCCCAGGGTACCCCCGAACAATAGGAATTAAGGACTCAAGTGTACCTTCGAATGATCGGACTTGAGGACCCAAGGCTATGGGTTTGGTGAAGAGAGATACATACCTGACTGTTACTCCTATTCCCGGACAACTGGTAACGTAACGGTAACTTTGCACTCATAGTTGGAAGTTCTTCATAAAAAAAAATTATTTGTTATTTTTTTGTTATTTATAACAAATAACAAAAAAAGATATTGTTATTAATAACAATAACAATACATTCACGCCTCTAATACAGGAATCTCAACCCGAACCCGAACCCGAACCCGAACCCGAACTCGAACCCGAACCCGAACGCGAACCCGAACCCGAACCCGAACCCGAACCCGAACCCGAACCCGAACTCCGAACCCGAACCCTTACACCGAACCCTAAGACCGAACCCGAACCCGAACCCGAACCCCGAACCCGAACCCTGACACCGAACCCTAAGACCGAACCCGAACCCGAACCCGAACCCCGAACCGTTCGGTCTGAACTCCGAACCCGAGTTCGGGTTCGGTGCATGCCTACTTTCAACAATGATCGAAATCATAGTAAAGCTCTTTCAAGAAGCGAAGGGAAGTCACCTATAATTCCAAAGTGAAGTGAAAAATTAGTTTTGCAAATGTTCTAGCCTTTCTCTACAAATAGTGTTTGTAACGATACGGCATCCATGTTCCATTACAGAACTGACGGCTGAACGTTCTGAGTCTCTTTCACAGAGAGTCTGGTGGGCTGAAGAAATGAAATCGTTTAAAAATATGCATGCATGTGTGACAGAGGTGGGATCGGTTGGCATTTTTGCCAAACCGAACCGACCGTAACCGAAAAAATCTCTAACCGAACCGAACATAACCGACCGAATTTTTTAAAATTTCTAACCGAACCGACCGTAACCGACCGAATTTCAAAAATTTCGTAATCGAACCGAGTTTAGAGAAAACGAAATTTAGCTTATGTTAATTAGGGTATTAGTGCTTTATAAATTAGCAACAACAAATCGAACAGTAGCAACTATGAGCAATCAACATCTAGAGAAAGTAACGAAGAAAGATTATTTATTGAATCCTCTTACTGTATTATAACTTTCTTACCTCTCACAACAAATTTAAAAAACATGTGAGATAATACAAGTTACGAACAACAGCGAATTGTTGTACGATTACACTCTTTTTTCTTCTTATGTCTCAAAAAGTCCATCGAACTCAAATCAAAAGATTATGTCGATTCTTTCTAACGGAACCGAACGTAACTGACCGAATTTTTTAAAATTTCTAACTGAACCGATCGTAACCGAAAAAATCCCTAACCGAACCGGTCCCATCTCTGATGTGTGATCTATCAGCATAAATAAATAAAGCCAAAGGCATTCGAGAATATAATGATATATTCGACTAGCAAGTAATACCATAATAAAAATTGCTGACTTCTGTACTTCCATTTAGAAAGAACATGATTTGCTTTCAGTTTAAAATGGGAGGAAAAAATAATTTCTACGTCGAAAGTTTAGTTGAAATCTGTCATAATGGATTTTGTGGAACTCACGTATATTTTCGAAGAGAATAGTGAGTGTAAGTAGCAACCAAAAAAGAGCATTACATACACATACCCCTCCCCCTTACAGACCATAGCAACCAAAAAAGAACATTACATACGCATACCTCCCCCTCTTCCCACCCCATTATAGACTGCAACAACCGTATTCATCAAATAGTCGATGGTGGGGAAAAATAACTTCAAATTAGAAAACAAAAAAAAATATTATTATCGAGTATATAGCAATAATTATAAATGAAATCGAGCGCGCTTAAATGAAAAAACGATATTTTCTTTTTTAATATATATTTTTAATATACAAATAAATAATAAATTCCCGCTCTTTTCATAGATTCTCAAGGAAAACAACTATAGTTGACGAGAAGTCTTTCAGTATACAGATGATGCGTCAGGTAACAAAGCTAAAGGTATACGTGAGTTCCACATTTCAGCTCCGCAGGAGCTGCGCTAACAAGCTTTTTTAATGGCAACAATGGAATAACATTCGATCGAGATCAAATCTTTGACAGTTACTCCTGCATTTGTACTCTAATAATCGTAGTCGTGTTAAATCATGAAATGTCTTGGACGCTATTCTTTAGGTTTTTCAACGAAATGATCTTTTTTTATGTCAGAAATTCTGTTTAATGCACTTCAATCACACTTTTAACAATAAAAAAAGCTGTAGAATCCAAAATTGATTCATTGAACCGCACTAAATAATACGAATTTCAAAACATATTTAAACAATTCTCGCGAAAAAAAATTAGTTGAAGCCTTTCAGGCATTCTTTGTCAACGAATATTTTTTCGAAAAAAGCTTTTCTTATCTTGAAAGTAAATTCTCAAGTCATATGTTGTTATTTCTGAGCAAATAAGTCACATGATTGCCTCCTTATGCAAAAAACTTCCTACTGCGTCGTCCTATCTTGGAACTACTAGGGTATGAGGTATGGTTGGAAATGTGTGTGTGTGTCGGTGCTGCTCTATTCTGCACAGCCACAGTCATAGACACACCCAACCAAGATCCAACAAACTACCAACATTCCTATCAACACTCCACCCTTATCCAAAGACTGCCCATTTTCACACTCACGTCTGGGTACATCTACGCTATCAAAATACTCGATATTGAAAAGCTGTATTCATACGACTCTGAAAATGACAAGTAAGTACATTCCTCCTATACTGGTCGTAATAGTAATCAAACTAAAAAAACGATTCATTTTTGACTCGGTATGATTTATTTATATTATGTCTGATTCGACTTTAATAAATTATCGTATAGGCATAAGCAACCATTGTGGCAGTACACGAATCGATCTGGTGGACTCCAAGTATGGAATACTAGTTGGTCTATATTAAATGTCAACAATGTAACACTCACACAACTTCAGTCAGCGTTCTTGACTACAGTCTATCAATGGTTTTCGTATGAAAACACATTCGATGGCGAGCAGGCTTTTCTTGCCTCAATGTTGAATTTGACCGAGAAATTCCCTGTAGAACTCGATGCACAGGTTCTACTTAGTCTCGCATATCTCAACATCGCTATGCAGCAGTCTATCGAACTGCAGACAAAGGTACCACCTGCACTATTATCAGCAAGGAAGATTTTACAGGCAGCATTTATTCGTGAGCCATTACATCCCGGCATTCTACACTATCTTGTTCATGCTTTTGACGTGGCATTGGTTGAAGATGCCTTGCAAGGAGTTCCATATGCATACAAGTATGGAGAAGTAGTACACACAGCATCACACGGACAACATATGCCAGCACATATTTGGACACGTACAGGTTAGTTTCTTGTTCTTTTCTTAGATAACGTTTATTTTCGGACACTTCCAGTAGAGTCATAAAAATTCAACATAATTAATTTGTCAATAAAATAGAACTCCTTGTAAATCATATTGAAAATAGAGCATGTCAAAACGAGCAACCATAAATGTTTAGCAAATAGTCCATTTTGCCGGAAATACTTCGTTTTTGTATGTGTTCAAGCTTAGAATCACACCTACACATTTCAATGTTGAAATGTACCACCCCATTTCGATTGTAACGAATCCAGCTGTCGTTTTGTGAATTTGTTGGTTCTATACAACTTCGCATCACTGAGACTATAGCACTTCCAAATCAATCCAGGTTTCCAAGCCTTGGATCTATCTCAATCAATTAATAAAACTTAATTGATAACTAACTACTCATTAATGGCTTATTGATGACTTATCAACTAGTATTATGAGGAATTGGTTAATAATTAATGGATAACTAATTGATGATTAGGAACACAAAAATTGTAGTTTGAATCAATCAGGTAGTCATGTTTATTAGTTCTTTCGAATTATACAGCAGGAGTTTGGAACTGAAACATTAAAGGTTCGAGACATCATAGGAAATTTCAGTTCCATAGGTGTTGATATTTTAAAGCTGAGCACTCCTATTACGTATATGGCATTAGGTGGTGTGGGTTTGAATGTTTGTGGCAGTAACTTTGTTTTTTCGGTATGTCCGTAACAGGCTGACAGACAGACTACACAGAAAAAAAGCTTCTCTTTCTTTTCTATATAGTTGAACGCTTTCTGACAATCGTGTGCCATAAAATGCATGGATCGATCCAGATATCATGCGATTCGAACCCCGAATCGCAAATTTTCGTTCTAAATTTTCGTCATTCGTATCATCACGTCGAGCTCTATCGATTTATTCTTTTCAACCTCGATCACATAGCATTGTCATAGTCTTTATTGCGTTCTCATTGAAATTTGTATGTAATGTATTCAAGTGAATGATGATGAGTGCGAAAGTCGAGAAAATGGTAGAAACTTGAAAGCGGGAATCCAGTGGTCAAATCTGCTGATCGGATCTTCCTACTTCTGATTGTAACACATTGTAATTGGACAGAGGCGGTCACCGGATTGAATAACCGAATTCCTATTTCCAAGTTCCTACCATTTTCTACAATTTTGCGGTCAAAAACAGTCTGTATTTCTTGACTTGACTAATTTATTCACGTATCTTGATGCCATCACTTCAGCTATTGCTGTTTTCTATTCCATTACACAAGGAAGAACACATGGAGTTTTGTTGTTGGCTAGAAAAAGAACAAGATGTTAATGTTACCTACAGCATAGACTTTTATTGAACAGTTGCAACACAAAAATTGATGATCAAATCAAGAGCTATGCAAATCTACAAAGAACACCATATTTTCGTCTTGTTACCTTATGAATCTGAGGTCAAAAGTAGAACAACATGTTTTGATTGCATTTCATTTCCTTTTTACCTAAACATTCACATGTTGCCAATGAAATAATACTGCATATTTTTACTTAAAGTTAGGTTTCTTATCTCTGAATAGCATATTCTGGTGATACTAAAAACCACTCACAGCAACATAAGTTTATTAATCTCATGACGATTTCTGAAGGGCAACATAGTACACAACAGTTTAGAAATAAAATGGGGAGCATCAAAACATGTAGTTTTATTTTATTTGTGACCTCAAACTCATACGAGTACACGACATATGTGATGTTCTTTCCTCTATACTAAAATAGAGAATAGAAATAGCTAGAGTGATGACATCTAGGTGCGTCAAAAAAAAAAGTTTGTTTTAAATTTTATCGCGATACGGTTTTGCAGTTAAGTCTTCTAGTCTTAACATGAGAGCACTTGACTTGACAAACCTATCTGTTTTTCCTGAACAGACTCGAAAATATACTCAGTGATTTCTCATTGAAAGATTGAAAATTCTTATAAAACCCATTACTTTATCGAATACTACACACATCAACTTTTCAAGACTTTGTTTGATAAACTTTTATTTCAATACTTTGCTAATCAACAGAATTAAAAAAAAATCTGTACCGCAGTGTTTTGACATTTTCATCATGTGAAGGGGAGTTATAGCTATTTAGGAAAGAAGAAGCCATTTTTAACGTTGTTATTCGAGATCAGACGAAAAATTCGTTAGATAGAATTTGACAA